TGTCGATCCACAGGGAGGATGTCTAATCTGCTAGAAACAACAAACTGGGAAAGTAAGCAAAGTCACAAACTCATGGGATTTGGGGTTTTTGGATAAGAATCCTAAACTAAACCTAATCTAATATTCACGAGAAATAAGATGCAATGCATATGAATTGTTAAAAGAATATCTCAAGCATATCGACTCAAACAATAGACTCTAAACTCATAGGTGGCAATTTAGACTTCTCCGGTTTACCGTAATCGATGTTTGGTGGCATTTCCAATTAGCTTCCGGACGATTTATCTCCATCTGTTTCTGGGATCTGCATGGAACTAGAATACACATATGTATGATTAACCAACTCTCGCTATATTAATCAACTAATCACTCAGATCTGACAAATAACTCTCACTCTCATGCCAGAAATAAGATCATGCATTAGACATTGAATTCGTCTGTTCACATCTTCTCTATAGGTAACTCTCATGCAATAGGAACAACTTAGAAGAGATGAGATCCAGAATATGGTCTAGAAACTTAGAAATCTTAATCGATATGGATGCCTATCGAAATCTTAGTCTCATGAAGCAGCGTTAAAGCAGGTCCTAAGGTATTTGTGAGGTACCGTGTCACTAGGATTCAGGTTCGTTTGAGCAAAAGGAACAGGTTTAGTGGGCTATAGTGATAGCAGCGACAATGTTGACACCGATGATGGAAAAAGCGCAGCGGTCACATCTTCTACCTAAATGACTGCCCTATATAACATGGTGTTTGCACAAGAAAAAAAACAGTGGCATTATCCTCCTGCGAAACTGAGTTTATATCTGGCATAGAGGCGGCAAAAAAAGCGATCTGGCTGCAAGAGCTACTTGGAGAAGTCACTGGAACAGAGTGTGAAAAGGTGACAGTTCGCATAGATAACAAATCTGCAATATTGCTTACTAAGAACCCAGTTTTTCATGGACGAAGTAATCACATACACAGGAGATATTATTTCATAAGAGATTGTGTAGAGAATGAGCAAGTGCTGGTCGAACATGTTCCTCGAACAAAGTAGAAGGCTGACATTTTAACTAAGGCACTTGGAAGGATCAAATTTAAAGAGATGAGAGATCTCATAGGAGCTCAAGAAGTGTCAAGAAGTGACTTCAAGCTTAAAGGGGAGAATGTTGGAGTAAGCTTGAAGAAAGCTTGAGCAGCAAGTCTCCTAAATCAATTAGGAATAGTTATATTTAGGAGTTATCTAAATATACCTAGGAGTTATCTAAGCAAAAAGAAATTTGTATTTCTAATTGGTTTAGGTTTTAGGAAATAATTTTCTATATATATGAAGGTGTCAAAGTGTGGCATTCTCATAAGATTATAGAGAGAATTTGAGAGCTTTAAATTTTGAGTTATTTTCTTAAAGCAATAAAAGTATTTTCTTAATCTCAAGTGTCAAACTTTACTTAGAACGTCCTGAATGCAATCCAGCACTTAATTCCCTAAAAAGAAAGCATATTGGACTGGGAGCAGCAAGGGGCTTGCGTATTTACATGACCATTGTGACTAAAAAAGCATTCACCAGGACGTGAAAGCTGCGAACATATTGTTAGATGAAGAGTTTGAAGCTGTGCTTGGAGATTTTGGGCTCGCAAAGCTGATAAATTATAAGAACTTCCATGGGACAACTGCTGTACTCGGTAAAATTGGGCATATTGCTAGAATCATTTGTTCATTGTAGCCATAGTAATCGAAGATGTGCTCCATTTTTTGTTCCTATTCCAAGTATGTATCAGAATCTACCTTTCCTGCAAAGGTCGGTGGAGTGTGCTTGATTTCATTGATGGCTTTATTGGGATCTTATTATCTGATTCTGTTACCATGGATGGGGTCATGTCTTGGTTGTTATTGTAGTTCCCCCAGATCAGGTGCAACATTGTTTTGATTTTCTCCTCGGTTCGTGGTTCTGACTGCTGTGGTTTGAGGATCATGATTGAGTGGTGTTGTTGCAGCTGGTTGAGGGTTACTGAGATCTCTAACGGCGTGGTTTCTGCTGAATACAATCTATACTACCTTCTAGATTGGCCTCCATGTTATTCATACCAGCCTTCACGGTTCTTATTTCATCCTTCATGGCATTCATATCTTATCTCATGGCTTGGAGAAGTTGTATCACAGCGTCTTGCACGTTGTGATCAATCACCTAAAAACTTTTTCACAAAAAACTAGGTCAAAGTTTGATTGGAAACAAAGTAAAATAAACAAGCAAACAAAAAATCAAAAAAATCTCTATTTTTTTTTTTAGTTAAGAATATGAAACATAAAAATTGTGAAAATAAAAAACTTTTTATGGGTTTTCTGGATTTATGAGAAGAAAATAACAGAAAAAAACAGTTTTATAGGTTTTTAGTTTATGATGGACAAAAAGCAAATAATCAAAAAATAATTCTTTTCTTTCGTTTTTTTATATAAAATTATTCCAAAAACAAAACAAAAACAAGAGCAAAGGAATAGAAAACACCAGAATAGAAATGTTTAAGCTCTAATACAGATGTAGTCATATTTTAGCCTATTTAAGCATGCATTTTACTTAGCATTTTGGAAATTTTGCATGCATTCTTATGGTTTTCACTAAGTTTTACATTCATATAGTCTACGATGTTTTAGATAATGTCCAAGAGAGTCTTGCATGTTTTGAAGTGCTTTCTAGGCACTTAGGAAGCAATGCGGACTTGGCCAAGCTTGGAGGATTGGTTTGGATCAGTGGAGATGCAATTGGGACACTTCGAGTCGACTTAGAAGATAATTGAAGAAGCAAGGAATGTCTCGACCAAACGACCTTGGACTGCTCAGGTCGAGGCTCGACCAAACGACCTTGGACTGCTCAGGTCGAGGCTCATTCTTGAGAAACCCTCGGCCAACTCCCTCGGAGTGGTATCCCCAAAGCCACTTGAAGTGTCTCAAAGATTGGGCCAGACGAAGAGCTTCCATTCCGATTTAGCTTTAGATAATTGAGTTAGCTTTCCTCTAAAGGTTGTTTTAAGTCATTCCACTCAGGTTCAGGTGATGCAACAAATTTAGCATGAAAATGTCCAAGGTTCGACCTTCCATCCTTCGAACAAGCCTGGCTGAGGCTCATGCCCGAAAGTTCCTCGACTTAACTCTCTTGGAGTGCTCTCCTTGAGGATGACCATACTGAAGACCTGAAGAACCCTCGACCAACTCCCTCGGACTGCTTAAGCCGAGGTTCACCACCAAAACGTCCCCGTCCTCAGAGTGGACAGGTCGATTGATCACTCCCAGATCCAGCCAAGGCTGGGTCAGTACCCAGTTTATTCCAGGTTAATCGGGTTCGACCCAGCCTTCTATCTATATTTTTTGACCGAATTTCTTATCATATCTTGTTTTTCTCTTTCAGAAACACTTCCTTTTGGGGAAACAAGATTTTGTAAACAGATTCTTTTAGTTTGAATGCATTAGTATCATTTTACCTCCAATCTCTCTTCCTTTATCTCATAAACATAATGCAAACCTTGATTTTTGTAGATTTTCTGGGTTTCAACATGAGTTGTGAGCAGTTTTCTTTTGAATTTATGGGTGAGGTAGATTAGGGTGCTTTTAGGTTTGATCTATGGGATTTAGGGCATAGATGCTTATTTTCCTTGAGTAGTTAGAGTTCTTAATGCTTGATTAGCTTGAGAAAGTTAATTTAGACCTTAGGAAATTTCATCAAACACCAAAGAGTTAAATAGATATAATTTCACCAAAGAGCTAAATAGAGGATTTTCTTTTTTAACTTATGAGATTAGATGTTTAAAGAGCATTCTAGTTGTTTGATCTTGTTAATAATGCTTGTTAATTATTATTTTTCACAAATAATTTTTTTGATTAAGTAATTAATCAAGTAATTAGTGCTATGAAAATGGATTAGTCTTAATTAGTGATCTAGACCTAAGGTTTAGCAAGTATTGATTTTTCTGGACATCATAGATCAACTTAGAAGTCACCCAAAGTCAATGATCCCACCCAAGGATCATTGTTAATCTTGCTTAGTTAATTTCTCTGTTATACTCTGTTTTTAATTACTCTGTTTTGCTATATTGCTTTAATCTTTGTTTAAGTTGCTAGTTCTTAATTAGTTTTTAATTGCTTGCTTACTTGTTGCTTTCATTTAGGTTGTCAGTTTCAATTCAAAACTCTTAACTGTTAACTTGGATTTAGAATTTTCTTCTATTCCATTTGGATTGACACCTCAAGTATTACAATGACATGCTTAAGAGGTTAATTGACCATTGATTGAAAAAATCTCTTAATCAGCTTGGCGCCGTTTGCCAAATGAGAATAGCTCTATTTAGTTAGATTTAGATTCTTTTAGGGATTAAGATTTACTTTTTTAAACACTCTCATATGTTTTGTTTGAACTTGTTTTTCATGTATTCAGGTGTATGAATTTGAGAAGCAGATGAGCAATCAACCTGCTTCTACTGATAGAAAACATTGATCAGGTTACAAACAGAGCCAAAAAAGAGAAAGAGAAAGAGCTGAGCATCTTGACCGTATGGGCATGGAAAATCAGAACCAAGATAGTGCTGCTGGGCATCAGGCCAATGTGCAACAAGAGGAATAAGCTGCTAGGGTGCAGAGAGGTCCTATACACCCACTAAGAGCTGCCAACTTGGTAGGTGCAAGAGCTGCAGCCAATGCACATGGGAACAGAAAAGAGATTCAAGCTTTCTTCTGTTGAAAACAATAACTTAGAGTTCAAGTCAGATCTAATCAACATGGTTCAAAGCAATAAGTTTCATGGCTTAGCCATGGAAGATCAACTTGACCATTTAGACCAATTTGATAGAATATGTTGTCTTACTAAAATGAATGATGTGTCTGAGGATTGCTTCAAGTTAAAGCTCTTTCCTTTTTCACTTGGAAACAAGGCCCTCCAGTGGGAGAGAAACCTTCCTCATAGTTCAATAACTGCTTGGGACCAGTTCAAGAAGGCCTTTTTAGCAAATTTTTCCTCTTCTTCAAGAACTGGAAGACTGAGGAATGAGATTTCAAGTTTCACACAAAAGAACCATGAGTCATTTTCTAAGGAATGAGAGTGGTTCAAAAGCTAAAGTGTGCATTGTCCACATCATGACTTCTCAGATTACACAACTGCTTAGTACTCTCTATAAAGGCTCCTTCCCAAAGATCATACTCTTGTTGAATACTGCTTCCAATGGAAACTTCTTAGCTAAAGAGGTACTTGATGCTATGGAATTGGTTGAGAATCTTGCACAATGATGAGCTGCGTTGAGGGTTGTCAAGTTTTACCCTCAATGAAATCAATAGCCGCAAGTTCACAGCTGATCGATTGTAGTACTTAGGGATCGAATATACAGGGAAGGACAATCTTTCCTGCAAAAGCCTTCAAAAGCAATATAAAGTAAGGAAGTCTAGAACCAGACAATTTTTGTAAGGGTTTTGGTGGTTTCTTTAAAACGTAAAAACTAATCTTAACGAGAAAATACAGGAACTAAAATGACCTAATAACTAAACTTAATAAAATCGACTAGAAACGAGAAAAATGGCTAAACCTAATTGCTTAAATGAATATTGATTAAGAGAATGAAAATGATGAACTAAAGCTTGAAATAAATTCGATGTAAATCAATAGAAAGAAGCCACTGAGTTTAATTGAAGTTTTCTCCGAGGTATGAATGATTCAAAACATTGCTAGAGAGCAAATTTGATAAGATCTTAGCTTAAACTTTTTGAAAAGTCACGGACGTATGAATATGCCACTGTCGTGATCATAGACAACTATCTCTCTCAACCCTGCCCGGTACGTTTCCACTCTGGCCCTGGAAAAGAAAAGATGCAATATGTTTAATACTCGTCAGCATTCACAAATCGCTCATAGGTAGGTTTCTATTCCTATGTTTGTTTTGCTCTCCCAAACTAGATCTGACACCGGATCAACAAGTTCTAGTATTCGGCTTCAATAGCTCATGAAATCCTTATTGAACATATATTCCCCATCAAAAATCCCGTTGACCCAACAATAAAATTACTCAGACATGATAAACGAAATCAAAAACATAGTATTAAAAAATAGAGCAATAATCGAAATTGAAGATGAAACAAAAAAGGGTTCAAGAGATAGATCTCTCTCTCCCTAAACCTAAAACAAAAGCTTAAAGTTGAATCTTTTCTAAAGTATTTAGTCTCTCTTAAAAACGACCTAAATGATAAGTATTTATAGTCTCCAATGCTCTATGGTGTCTAGGGTTCCGGAATTAAGGCTGAGAAAATGATTTGGGCTTTAGAAATGGGCCTTCTAACTCGGAGGTGGATGGCCGCGGTCGGAAGGGACGTGGCCGTGGGGAATGGATGCTTGGCCGCGGTCGGGTAGCTTCTGACCGTGGTGAAATGGTTGTTGGCCGCGGGTGAAAATGCTTGCCGGCTGGTTTACGGGACATCTTACTCTTTGCGTAACCTTTGATTAAACTATTGGATTGCCAAGCTGTAAAGTGTGCTGGAAAACTGATACTTCCATCTTTGAGATCTCCAAATTTGAGCTGGATCAGACGGTGAGAAGGCCTTCAATCAGGGGTGAACTTCTGACAATTTGACTCTGAGCGGAAAATCTGGTCTTCTATCCATTTTGTTAAGTTTTTCCCTAAGTTTCCTTAAAAGAGTCTTAGAACTACAAATACTAGAAAAACATAATAAAAGTATTTGAAAGCAATAAAAAACATAGGAAAAGTATTTCAAAACGATCCATAAAATTGGTCAAAATATGGTGTTATCAACTCCCCCAAACTTAAACCTTTGTTTGTCCCCAAACAACGCAAAAGTTTAAACTGGTTAAGTGAAAACAAAAATAGGAAATGCACAAATCTCAGAGACATGAACTCCTAAACTAGGACCATAGATCGTGCATCAATCCACAACTTAGTCTAGAAAATTCTCACCAAGACACAAAAGATACTAGTCCATTTTATCTGTCATGCAAAACTTAAATAACCTAAATCTTGATTATAGACAACTAGCTCTCTACATTCATTAAGTGCAAAAGTGAGTTCTCATCAAAGACCTTATCTAGGGTAGACGGCGTTTGGCATTAAAGGGCTGTTTAAGTGGTGGAGTTAAAGTGTTTCGGGTTACCTGATGAATCTGGAGGATGCAAGATATTATGCAAAACCGCAAGAGAGATAAGAACCTATTGATGACCGCAATTTTCAGTCTCTTCTTCTTATCTGATGTTGTTGCATAATCTTTCCTCCTTTGTTGTGAACAGCTATTTCCCCGAACTTAAATTCTTTCCGAGAATCAGAAAAATGATCTCCAAAACTCCATAAAATAGAACTTTAGTTGCCTTTGGACTTAAAATTCGACCGCTCTAGACTCTCTAAGGCTTTTATTTCCTTTCCTTTCCTATTTTTGGATTATTATTTTTTTTTTGAATTTGAAAAGAGGAAATGCCTTTTAAAGAGAGAGAGAGACTAGAGGACGAGATTGTACCAAAATTTGAGATTTTTCTAAGGCAAACTGAGCTTCCTCATGTTTTGAATCATTCCGGGAAGTTTGCCAGCAAAATCGCAGGTCTCTGTCTTTGGTGACTGAAAACTGCTTTGTTCCTCTTTTTCTCCAACGTTTTTGCACATATCTGCATATAAGACAATAGAAAACAAGAATGCATGTGGTTTGAAAGAGGCTTGGTTAAGGTGGGGAACTAGCTAAAGATGAACTAGCCATTTAGGATCAACAGAGAGTGGTAAAAGGGTAAAGGAGTCCTGAATGTATGATTCGTTTCCCTGGTCTAATGCTTTAATGAGAGTATTAAGTCCAAGTTAAGTCCAAATAAAACAGAGCTAGTATATTCCTTCATCTAAATCGAAATCATTCAAATTCCTCTGGGGTACTTTGTTTCAAATGTGCTTAGCTACCGCCCAGTCTAGTCCTAAATCATGAATGAGCATGTCACTAAGAACAGTCTAAAAGCACACAGTCAATTATCATGGATTCATGTTCACCATTCCCTTTGAAACGTATTTTGTTTTGAAAACCGTTTTTGAACAACTTTAAGGAAAATGCAAAAAGTATAGATAATGCAAGACACATGAAAGAAAAGTGGTTAGAAAGGGATGAAATCCTCCCCTAGACTTAAATCACACTGTCCTCAGTGTGAAGCAAGTCGAGATTGGATAAGAAAAATGCATAGATAATCGAATTTTGTAAGACAAAGAGAACGTACCTGGATCCGGGATGCTGGTGGAGATAGACAGGATCCATTCGGAAAGGTTTGGAAAGCTGATAGGTGGTGATGGAAGGTGTAAGAAGTGATGAATGAGGTGGAATGGGGCTTGGTGAGGTGGAATGAGGTGAAGTGGGTGGTTTGGGGTCGGGTATCATCTGAATGACCATTTGCCTCGGTCAAAGGTCATACGACCGCGGTAAACTGTTGTCCGGCTGCGGTCAGAAAGACGTGGCCGTGGTCGAAATGGTGTTTCCCGCGGTCCGAAAGCATGCGACCGCGGGGGCTTAAATGCGACATGTGCCTGCTTCTCCTTGGTTCCTGATGGGCCGAGCAGTCAGGGACCATCCTTCTTTTTTGGTTTTTTTGGTTTTTTGATTTTTTGGCTTTTTTGTTTTATAAAAAACACCTGAAATTAAGAAAAAGAAAAATATCGATAGAAAAAGAAAGAAAAATCCTAAAGAAAATAATACCTAAATGGGTCGCCTCCCATTAAGCGCTTCTGTTTTAAGTCGTTTAGCTCGACTTTGGTCTATGACGTGGCTTAGTCCAATGAAGAAGACTTTGTCCTAAGACAAGTCTTTTTCGAAATCTCCTTGCTTTGCCTAGCAGGTTCTTCATCACTCCAAAGTTCTTCTTCAAACTCTTCTGCTGCAGAACGTTTTTCTGTTTTGCTGTTGTATGAGACAGCTTCTGTGAAGACATCTTTGTCTATATTAGCAAATGAAATTCTCCGGTTTGGCCAGTCCATTATAGCTCCGGAATTTGCTAGAAAGACCATCTGAGAATCACTGGATGTGTTGCATCTCTTGTTTCGACAATGTAGAAGTCGACAGGCACAATGCAATCTCCTATTCTCAAAAGAATGTCGTGGGCTATTCCTTTAGGTATTGCATTGGAATCATCAGCTAGACTAATCTTCGCTCTAGTCCAGCGCAAGTGCTTAATACCAAGTCTCAAAGAAATTGCCTTAAACATCATGTTGAGACAAGCTCTAGAATCACAAAGTATATTGTTAAACATTTCTCCTCTAATGGAACAAGAGATGAGAAACTGACCTTTAGTCTTGACTTTATGGAGAGTTCGAACTTTTCTATCCTTGTAAGTGTTGGCTGGTGTTTCAAACGCAGAATAGGACTCACAAAAGAAAGCTGCAGCGTCGTATTCAATGATTGAATCGATGTATGGCATCTCTATCTTGCTGCGTATCGGGTCTTCGTAGATTGAAGAGTCAGCTGAATCCTCAACATATTCCATTGCTATCATACAAGGTAATGATTTCTGCCAATCTGTTTCTTCATCTGAAACCTGGTTTTTTTCTTCCTGAGTTTCTTTTTTAGATGCTGGAGGTTGAGGTTGGGCTAGAAGGTGCACATTCTTTCTTTCAAATCCCAGAGGTGAATCTGAATGACCAATCCCCGCGGTCAGAGGCCTCGCGACCGCGGGAAAAGGGGTATTGGCCGCGGTCAGAGTTTACGGACCCGCGGCTCCGTGCTTCTTCCTTCTTGTAGTTGGTGTTCACCTCTTCAGCTTCTTTCTTTGGTAAACTACCATCATCTGAATTAATACCAGGGTGTTGTTGTGCATCTTCATCAGGATCTTTGGGAGATTTCTTCAAAAATCTCACAATTGGCTCAATGTTGGGCACCTGTCCCATTCTCGCATCAATCTCTCGTGCCTTGAGCTCGAGTTTGTTAAGCCTGTACTCGATTTCTTGCAACTCTTCGTCTGTCTTTTCTCTATACCAGGAGGCGAATTCTCCAACTTCTTTGATCTCTGTTTTTGATTCAACAATATCACTTGAGTTCTGTATGATATCGTACCATTGCCTTGTCTGCTCTGCTGCGACTTGATTGATCATCCCGACTAGTGTTTGTGCGTCTTTGTGGATTTGTTCTTCC